CAGACGTGCCGATAGCGGCAGATCTCTGACAGGCGCGTGGGGGGGGGTGTGAGTGGGCTTTTTGAGGAGAATCTTTCTGGATTTTGTCGCCTCTCTCTTGGGAAGCTTGTTGTGATGTTGGATTTTGCACAACACCGATAATTAGTGACTTTGACGCAAACAACCACTTAGGTCACAGGAAAATCGCACGGTAACTTAGTTCTTTCTTTCCGGATGTCGCTGGAATGACGCACAACGATCTTTTCTCACCGATGCTTTGATACCATTTGAAAATGCACGGGAGAAAATCTATATTGATCAATTAATTATAATACAATGAGCCCTATTTATAACTATACATAATACAGATTCTACTCCTGGTCAATATGGGACTCGGACTAATTACATTTTAACTATATAACTATCTAACACGTCCTAATGCTAATTTCATGAAAAAAAGAAGTTTCCAAGAAACTATTCTTCGTGAAATTGGATTACTTCCAGTAACTTGCACAAGAAGCATTGATTGTTGTATGGTGTTCATAAGGCAAGTAATAGCAGCATAAGCCATGTCTCTCTTTCTCTCTTACGTGTTTTATGACAATAGGGAGAGTTTGTGCCAAAAAAAAAAAAGCAGAATCTCAGAGTATGATAGTAGAGGCACTATTATAATAAGCTCGTATTCTCACAATCTAAAAACAGAAGAAATAAAGGGTCTATCTTTTATTTATAGAATTTGTTTATGAGAAGGGGAGCCTTAGCGTAACCAGTAAAGTTACTGTCATATGACTAGAAGGTCAGAGTTCGAGCTGTGAAAATAATATTTTGTATAAATGTAGGGTAAGACTGCATACAATAGACCCTTGTGGTCCGGCCCTTCCCCGACCGAACCCCGTGCATAGCTTGAGCTTAGTGCACCAGGATGCCCTTTTTGTCCATGAGACCCGTTGCCAACACGGCAAACAAAAAGAATCAAACAAAAAAAAGCATCAAAGAAAATTCTATTGAATATTATCTTCTATCTTTAGGTCAAAAGCCAACAAAAGAAGATCTCATGGTGTAAAATCAGGGGTTTTGGTGGTTGGTCTCTTTTAAAAAGCAGATTCTCCAATTCAAAAACGGAAATGAGAATTAGTGATAATTATCACATCCTAAAAGTATGCACTGACCTAACAGGGAAAAGGTGAAAGATTTATGATCAGCATCTGATTCCAGCTGGAAATGTGATGGAAGCTAACTTGTGATCTCAATAAACAAAAGAAAGACCTTTCTGTTTGCACAAACTCCCAATTGCATCACATACGCATTGAGAGATATTCTGCTTCTTCTCTCTGCAGAAACATTTCTATTTTTGTCACACATAATTATGGCTTATGCTGCTATTACTTCTTTTATGAGCACCATAAATCAATCAATGCAACTTACTGGATGTAATTTGCAGTCGTTCTATGAGAAACTTGAATCCTTGAGATCTATTATGGAGAAACCCTGTAATATAACAGAGGATATTGAAGCACTGACAAGCTTGGAAGCTGAAATCAAAGAGGTAGTATTCAATGCAGAAGATAAGGTTGACTCGAGATCAATAAAAGTTCTTTATTCAAAAACACCAACTTTACGGAGCAACGCTTTCTGGAAACTCTGTTGTTGCTTGGAACAAGCGATAGAATGCATTGATTCCATCATGAAGCAGTGGATGGCAATACGGGACTGGTACACTAACATCAAAGGTTTGAAAGCACAAAAGTTTTCTCTAGCCAGTATACCTGAACGTGCTGTAGAGCCCGAGAATATTATGGTTGGCCATGAAAGTGAGTTCGAGATGATGCAGGATCAACTTGCCAGAGGATCAAGTGAACTAGAAGTTGTCTCCATTATAGGGATGGGTGGCATCGGCAAGACAACTTTAGCTAACAAGCTTTACACAGATCCATTCATTATGTCTCACTTTGACATTCGTGGAAAAGTTACTGTTTCACAAGAGTATTGCGAGAAATGTACTACTAGGCCTTCTTTCTTCAATAAGTGGAAGGACTAGTGAATATTTTGAGCAAGATGATGGCCAACTAGCAGACCAACTACAAAAGCTTCTAAAAGGCAGGAGATACTTAATCGTCATTGATGACATATGGACTACAGAAGCTTGGGATGATATAAAGTCACACCTCCTTTTTGCGCGCCTACCTCGGAGGATAAATGCGTGAGGGAGTTTTTCCAATTTAAGTGACAATATTCGAAATGAGATTATTTATTTAATTCAGAGTCGCCACTTGGGAAAGGTTTGGCTTTTGGTGTCCCAAGTCACCGGTTTATCTTGAATCCCAATTCGAGGAAAATATTCGACTTTCCAAATGAAGTCTGCGAACCAGAAATTCTAAGTAAGGAATTCTGTTGACCCGAGGGAAGGTGTTAGGCACCCACGGATCCCGTGGTTCTAGCACGGTCGCTTAAATTGTTATAATGGCTAAATATCTGATTTTAATACATGTTATAACCTGTGTGCTTTTATTAAGTTTAAAACCACTTTTATTATTATTTTTTAATAGAATTGCAATGTTGTGAAGATGCATCTTGAACCACGTCACAATCAATGCACCCGTGGTTGTTAATACGTTCCGACTCCGTTGAGATTTGGATTTGGGTCATATAAATGCGCACCCGAATTTAAGCATGTAATTTAATTAAAAATCGCGTCTAAAGAGTCTAACGCGTTATTATCTTTGGGGCAAACCGTGAAGTTCGCTAGACGGCCCATCCCAGAAAATCTAAGTATTTATTATGACCAATTATTGAGGGCCCCACAATTTGCATTTTTATTTGGCGAGGCTCCTCTCATTATTTTTTAAAAGGATAATCTTAGAATGACTACATTTTCTATTTTTCATTTGTCTCTAAAATAAATGAAGAAAAGGTCCTACTTTATTTACATACTTTCGAGTTATTATAGTTAAGTTTCGAACATGATTCGTTAAGTCTAAAATGAACGCAGTAAGAGCAGTCCGTTTGACAGTTATGGGCCCAGGCCTAATGTGCATGGAGTGAAACTGGGTCTGGGCCATCCTTATTCCAATTGGGCCTAATTGACTTATTTTATATACGTTTGATATTTACAAGGGGCTGAAATGTGAACCAGTGCTATCTAATTAAACAATGTTCCTGTAAGTTTTAAAACAAGTCTTTTGTTCCATGAGGTAACTATTAAGTATTTTGGAAATAGTCTAAGAGGTCTAACAGAACGTACCATTTTTACTATTAAGTATGTTGTTAAATCTGAAACAACAGAACATGTTTTCTACAACATCAATCCATTTTAACTAAGCGCACAAGGGAGAAAGTTTACAACTAAACTACTACAAAACATTGTTCAGTTATACATAGCCCACACCTACATAATTCTAGTAGAAGACATGAACTATTATACGTATACCGCTTAGTGTTCAATATACAACTAAAAAATATTCAAAACAACTTCAACTCTTCATTTTTCATGCATGCTTCAAATTTCAGCTTACATTGAGCCAGTGGATCAGTTATGTACCTGGATATTGAAACACAACAACAAGAAGAAGAAGAAAGTAGAAAATCAGCAGCAGCAAACGGCAGCAGTAACCAGCAAATAACAGCAGCAACAACAACAATAAACAGAATAAATCCCAGTGAAAAATTCTGCTATAACCAATGGAAGCAGTAGCAAATAAACCCAACAAACTCAAGAGCAAACAATTGAAAACCCAGCAATCACCAAAATGCAATCTGAGCCAAAGCAGAAGGGAGACAGGTACGAGACAACAATAGGTTACTGATGTTTCAAGACATTCAAAGGAAGAAGCCTAAGTTTCAATGCAACAAAGCAGTTAATGCTGATTTCGAAACAGGAAAAGTGAATAAAAGCAGAATTTTCAGCTTCAATAGAGCAAACAGAGGTTTTTTGTTTATTGTCTACCTAGGATTGAAGTCCAGAAATGAGCTCTTTTTTTTTCAAGATCAGCTCCCTTGGGTTCTAACCTCTTTTTTTCAGTTGTCCCCCCTCTGCTCTCTTTCAGTCTCCCTTTTATATCCTATTAGAAGAGAAGGACCTCCCTCCAAAGACAGGCTGCCCATGGCTTAAAATAACTCCTCATGGCTGTCATTTCCACTTAGAATTCTCTAGGCATGGAGTTTTTTCCTATTTTTAATCTTCTGAAGTTCAAAAATGTAGTGAATATCCTACTGTACAGCAGCTTCCACTACCATTTTCATGTGCATCTTCAGCTTTTTATCATTAAACCCATGCTGTTACTGATTTCCAGCTTGTTAAAACCAATTAAAAACTGACCCCCCATGCTTCCTTATTTTAAAAGCACTCATTCTATACCCCTTTTCAGATGCAATTCTTTTCAGTTTTTTTAAAATCTGAAAAGCCTGTTATTCTCTGCAGGCCATTAGTGGATGTTCAAATAATATTTGATTCTAATCAAGCATGGTCGGATGAACTGATTAATTCAAAAGCATCTGTCCACACATGGCTTCCACTAACAGTTTAAAGCAGTGAATTAAATCTAGTTCAATCAGTTAAAACAGTTCCTAGATTGATAGATAAATGGTACAGATTGACTCAATCAGAATTGAAGCAATATGAACCAAATTGTCATCAGGTTATTTTAACATTCAAGACTGCGAAACTAATCGACGACACTTATTAACAGACTATATATTACAACATATACAATCGATAACAAATAATCGAACTCGAACAGGTACGGGGGTGATTTCATACTGATAGGCACAGTGATTTTACGCAAAACTTAACCAATCGACGGATCCTATTCGACTCAATTGCCCAAACTGTAATTACACGCAACAAAACGAGCAAAAGCAAATTTGACCAAATGAAAGGTCCGGGCGAGGTGGACAGAATAGTCGACACAATTGAAAACAAACTCAAACTGACATTTAAACACATAAAAAGACATAGACAAAACATGGAACTGACAAGGAAAAGAAAATACCTTAAGAAATTGAAGGTTAGACGAACCCGTCTTGGATTCTGACTCGGACCTCTTTTGGGATTGAACGGACTTTAATCGAAGTGTTCTCAACTGAGAACACCTCGATTAAGGTCTATTAGACCCC